TTTTTCTGTTTTGAATGGGAAGTTAAAATTTTTCACCATGGTTTGTATTACAGAAGGATACTTAATTTTACAGGCAATAAATAACCTGCAATAAATCTCTCAATTCATTTTTTCGTATCATTTAAGCCAAATATTGACTGATAGCAGCTTTCTCTTCTTACAGATGCAATTCCCTTTACAGTGCACAGAAAATCTCTTCATATAAAATGTGGTTGCAGTAATGCTGAGATGCTGCCCTGGTAAGGGACAAATGACTTAGAAGTACAGAATGAGCAAAGTAGTTTCAGGGATGATGGATCCTAGTTTTTCAGTGTTAGAAGATTGATTCATCTCTGTTCCATACTGGTACAAACCAGCCATTTGAGCCAGTAGAAAGGATGGACGTGAATGAATAAATGAAATCTGCTATGAAGCATATCATTTTTCCTCTTCCCTTCCTATTGGGCATGCATTTTAAAAATCTTTTCCACTGCAGTATTTCAACATTGGCATTGTACTGATTTCCTGAATAGAAAAAGCTGTGTGGATGTATGTTGGGACAGAGCTCCAGCCCCACCTCCAGCAGCGGGCTGGCATGCATGGTGATGGCTTCGTACCTAACCTTTGGGAGTGACTCTAAGTCACTGCTGCTTTACTTCTTTTGACAACTTGGAGATGGAGTTCCAATTGAGGTGTTGGTTTCCTTGTTTTTTAATAAGCCAAGCTGTATAATGGCAATAAAAGAATTCTGGCTTTTCCAGCTATTGTCATGCTGATTGCTAGAGACCTCACAACTTTGGAGGAAATACTGCCAAGTAGAACCTTATGTTTGACTCAGAAATTATAAATGCTAGGAGGTAAGAGATCAAGATCTGGAGGCTTCGAGTTCTACCAAAGAAACAGTTGCGTCAAAGGCAATATTAAAAGAACATCCATATTATTTCTTTTCAGTGGAGAGTTACATTTCAGAACGTTTTAACCACTAACTTATTCTTAGTACCCCAAAGTGTTAATAATTTACTGTATTTTTAAAATTCCTTTTCTTGTATAGGGAACAGTTTTAGAAAAAGATCCTTACCAGGTATTGTTAGGCCTATAATTACATCTGTTATTCAGCACTTGGGAGGCCGGGGAAGGAGGATCACTGTGAGGTCAAGGCCAACCTAAGATACCTGAGGTCAAAGGTAGTCTAAACTACTTAGCAAGACCTGGTCTCAAAAAATCAAGGAGAAAACCAAAAAGAAGATCCTACTGCAGTTCTAAACAGAATTTTGACAGTAGCCAAGGTAAGATAGTACTGGCCTATAATCCTAGCACTGGGAAGGCTGAAAACAGGAGGAACACTCCAAGTCCTGACTGTGTGGTGAAATGCTGTACCAAATACATAAATTTAAAAAAAGCAAGGGCGGACCTTGAGGGTGTGGCTCAGTGCAAAGGTCTTGGGTTCAATCTGTTCCACCAACTCGGGGCAGGAGTTGTCAATTGCGAGACTTCTAGTTCCCAGTGTATTGTAATGCTTTTCACAATAGGTCAATGCTCTCAGATTTTTTGTGGGACTTTAGGTATTTCGATTCCCCACCTGCCTTGTCACAATGCCATAACTTCTTAAAGTTTGAATAGATGTCTAGTATTTAAGTTTTTAGTATGTAGCTTCTAGCCATAGATAGTTTCAACACAGCCAATCAGCAGTCTTCTACAAACTTTTATAAAATTACAGTATTTTGTGTTGTTAGTTTCATAGCAGGCATCTCAGTTTGGGCTTTTTAATATTCCATTACCAGTTCCCAGTCAGAGGATGGAACAGCTTGCGCTCAAGTAAGCTTTCTGAAAGGTCTACTTCACTTTGTGAGGTCACTTATTCAGGCCTCTGGTAATGTATTATCCTGCCTCTCTTGTAATGTAGATTTAGTCAGAAATCTGTGGGGCGGTGATTGTATGGGGTGCAGAACACCCCGGCATCACCCTGAGCATGCAGAGCCCTGACCCTCTGACTCTGGGAATCAGGAACACAGCCAGGGAGACTTTGATAGCAAGTAATTGTATCTTTTGTGAATTTTTGTGCTACATTTTTTAAAGTACTTTTTTTTCTGAGCAAAATAATGGAAATGCTTTGAAACAAAATTTCTTATATTTAAGGTGGCATGTCTGGGAGAAGGAATAGCAGGCTCAAAAGGACCAGTTCTATTCCTGAGTCCCCTCATTGCCTAAGATCATGGGACACAGGTCATACTGCTGTCTGTTAGACGGCAAAAACACTTGCCTCCTGGGACAGTCCCAGAGAGGATGTATATGAAGATTTCACATTAAAACGTACTATTGAAATAAGGATCTAAAAATAATAATACAAAAATAGAGAAGAGATCATTGTGAAGATTTTATGCAATGTAACAGGAGGCCTCTCTTTGAAGGAGTCAGGGGCTTAGTGTTCAAGAAATTTTTTAATTCTTAGAAGGTTCAGATTAAACCCTAAGAATCCTCATATTTAGGAATAGCAGTGAACCCATGGGAAAATATTAACTGCCATCAATCATGGGTATTCTAGAAATGTGTTCTCTACAGTCAATGGTAAAGTGAGGGGCCAGGGAGATAGCTCGGTAGTCTTAAGCACCTGCCTGGCAAGCACAAGGACCCAGGTTCAATTCCTGGTACCGCATACCATGCCACCCCAGCACCTAGTGGGCCACTGAAACTGGGCGTGGTAGCACACACTGTAATCCCAGTGCTGGGGAGGCTGATCAGGAGGATCACTACAAGTCTGAGCTGCATAGCAAGACCCTGTACCAAAAGATTTTTAAACACTTTATCCTTTCTAAGGTGAGCAAAAGAAGAGGGGAAAATGACTCATTCTGAATTTCCAGCTGGTACTAGCTATAGTCCTTGTGTTAGTTCTACAGAACAGACTGTGATATCCAGAGCATTAGGGAAAAAAAGGAAAATAGAGCTACATTTTGAATCAGTAAGAAAATGAACTTCCTTTGATACTAAAAAAAAAAAAAAAAAGACTACACTGCAACATTGTAGCAGGACCACAGTCAGTTACTTCCTCAACAGTCTAGGAACAAAATTCATAACTGCTGAATTCCTGTAGGACCCTTTCCTCTGTGCTGGGGTTGGTCCCCTTGGAAATTCATGCTACTGTGGGCAGAAATTCACTAGGAGGAGACTGGCTCCACACGGAACTGTGTTGTGTGGCTCTGGGATTAGGGGAAGCACTGCTGTTGGTCTGCAGGGACAGCTTTCTTAGCTACCTCACACCTCAATTAGCAACTCCTTGCCCTCTTAATGTATCCCAAATAGGATTTCCACACGAGTCAAAACTTGATGATCGGGAACACTATCTGAATGTAAATGTTGCTAAAATAACAGCCCTTACTGATGGGCCTCACTTTTATTGATGTTTGATGCAAATTGTGAAGTTATTACTACATTAAGGATCATTAAATTGGAGGACAACCTCTTGTCTTCCTAAGGTAAAATAAATGACCTTAGTCTTTCTGAAACTAAACAATTACATTAGCGTTTGACTCAATTGAGAAAAAGGACATTTCGTGCCAAAAGTCAGATAAGGATTATCTCAGTTACACTTCTCTTGTGGCTGGGATCAATACCTGGCACCAAAACTGAAGGAAGGAAAGGCTTAGCTCAGTTAATGGAGATTTCAGTCCATACTCAGCTGGCTCCAAGGCAGAGCGACACATGGCAGAGGGCAGTTTTTCATGGCAGCAGCAAAGAGCAAGAGCAAAATGGAGGAGTAGCAGCAACAATGGCAACAGAGAGCAAATTTCTCTCCTCCTCAGCTGCCCCAGACTGGGTGTAGCACTCCCATAATCCCAGCAATACTAAAACCCATACTCCCAGCCTTGATCATGAATTAATCTCAAACTCTAGAAGTTCCCACCGCATGACTGCATGAGGCTTTGGGGGGACAACTGGACACAAACCATAATAAGGACATAGCATGACATGAAGACTTCCCCCAGCTCTTGCTGTAAAATGAATGCTGTTATATCAATATTAGAATATAATGATAAATACATCACCATGCTTTAGTTTAGATTGGAAATTGAATCAGTGGATGCTAAATCTTAACACATTTTATTGGTAGATTAACCCTTTCAAAGTATAATGGTCCTGGGATTTCTAGTTTTAAAAGCCTTGGACTTTTAACACAATGAAAATTGAAACCCCACTACTCTTTGGGCAAATGGCCTTACCTCGCTAATCCTAAACTTCTGGAGACAACTATAAGAATTAAACCTTGCCTGACAGGCACAAGGTCCTGAGTTCGATCCCTGGTACCCCCCCCCCAAAAAAAAAATCTAGATCTGTGTGGAAACACCTCCTAAACACCCCACACAAATGCCAAAATGATACCCTTCAGCATGGTAACTTCAACAGTAGCTCATACAGGTGATAGTCTCCGTACTTGGACTGTTAAGAGTTCAAAAACAGGCTCTTTGAAATTCAGAGAGCATTACTGACACAGCTGCTTTATCACACAGGCCTCTTTGGTCAGGTAGGATTCCCCTATAATTTTTTTCTTTTTTTTAGTACAGGGTCTCACTACACAGATCAGACTCTAGTGATCCTCCTGTTTCCAGCCTCCCAAGCACTGGCATTACAGGTGTACCCCACCACTCCCAGTCTCAGTGGCTGTCTCAGCACACCCTGGGGGTGTAGCCCACATGGCTTGCTGGGGATTGAACCCTGGTCCCTGCATCTACCTAGGCAGGTGTTTTAATCCACTGAGCTATCTGGCTAGCCCTCCCCTATAATCCTAATCTTAGCTTTTTTATTCTGCTCTGTCTACTTGGAGAAACTGCTAAATCATTAAGAGTTTCACAGAAACAGAGTTGAGAACGATAGAAGCAGCGCTCAAAAGTCTTGCACCAACAGCGTGCACTTAATGGAACTATGAATGTTTCCAAAGTGACCATTTCTTCTGCCTTACAAAGAACTGGCGTGTACATTTTGACCATGTAGTGACATAGCTTCTAAAAACTTCCTGAGTATTTGCTAAATGTCTGTGTAATGTACATAAAGAAATTCTCATTTATCCTGGTTCTCTTGATATGGAAACTCATGCTTAGTACTTACAGAAAAGGAAATTTCTTTGAGCCAGCTCCTGTGGTCCTCGTGGGTAGCCTGTTTCTTTGAGCCAGCTCCTGTGGGCCTCATGGGTAGCCTGTTTCTTTGAGCCAGCTCTTGTGGGCCTCGTGGGTAGCCTGTTTCTCTGCCATAAGTGCCCCCACAAGGCCAGGTGTTAACTAGCAGAGTGACAGCGCTGAACATGGAATTGGGAGGATCTCTAATGGGCTTGTGGTGAGCTGCTGCAAGCCAGGGCCCACAGGTTAGAGGGCCTGGGAGCCTTGAGCTTCACTTTAGAGCTGTACACGTAGCTGCTTTATGCTTTCTTGATGATCCTAGTCAACCAACAAATCGGTCTTGGACTTTGGGGTTTAGATTTTTGTTTTTCGGATGGGATCTCACTGTACTGCCCCTCCTGGGTCTCTGGGGTAACAGGTGCATTCCACCACACCCAGTAACAGGTCAGTGTTTTACTCAAATAGCCAACATACAGTGAGTGACACATGTATAAAAAATCCTAGAGCATCTCTGTATGAAAAAGAGAATTCAGATTAGTCTTCTGGCTTCCAGGAAGATTGTTCTAGAAATTTTTACTCGGGTTAGCTCAAGCTGCTAGAATAAGGTTAGATACAGGAATAGAAGTTTCCTTCTAGTTGAAAACTATGGTGGTAGCTATGAGGCAACTGACCTACACTTGCACAGAACTCCCTTGTGGCCTCTCAGCTGCCTGAGCCCACCTGGGCCCTGAGACAGTAAGGAAAAATATTTCAGTGTTATAAGTTATGGGGAAAGACTGTTATGCTCACAACATGCAGGTTCAGCTTTGATTTCAATCTGCAGATGCCTCCAAATTCTGTGCCAGGACATGGTACCAGCAGAGAACCAGTCCATGGCCACTGCTCTCCTCCGTCACCAGCTCCATACTTGGGAAACACTTGCAGGTTCTTCATTCCTGCCATGAGCCAGCCTTGAGCCACCCTTCCCTTGTGTGGATTTGGTGGTCATGGTGGGGGGGACCTTGGGAGAGAAAGCCCATAAGCCCCAGAAGCTGGCAATTCAGAGACTCAATGCCTTTGACATGGTATAAAAGGGAACATCTGCTCCAAGTGGGGGTCCTACTTACCCGGCACATGTTTTGCCCCTGAAGAAAGACACAGACGAGCACAAGACTCATGGTTCAAGAGCCCTTCTAAAATGAGGCAGCTAAGGGCAGTGCTCAGCCTGCCTTTTCTCCTGCTGACTCACTTTAAAAGATATTTGTTGTCACTAATATGTTATTTTTCTAATAGTATTAGCTGTCACTGAATACTTCGGCATGAGCCTAGAAACTGGTTTTCAGCACTTTCTGTCACAATACCTCTAGGAAACAGAGAATTGATGTTTCAACAAAATTTTGTAAATTAACACTTTCTGTCAATGTCTGATTGTGCATTACTTGCTATAACTAAAGGATCATCCCAGCAGGCATGTCAACACTTTTAAAGAGAGTAAGAGAAAGTTTATAAGTTTTCGTTCTATGTCCAAAGGGGGGGGGGACTAGCAATATAATAGAACTTTGGAGGAATGCCAGATAGCTGGCATGATCTGAGCCATGGGCAAAGAAAACAAAGTCACAGTTGAGCTTGGGTTTTGTTTT